CAGGTGCAAAGATCTCCGCAGGTGGAAAGCACACAAGGCTCTCCACCTTGGCCAATGCCCTGATGCCCAGTGAGGAGCATTTTGAGTGGGTTTTGCTCTGTGATGTGAGCAGCAATAGCAGGTGGTAGGGTATGGGGAGGGGAGAGCTGCTTGCTTTTGGTTTTCGACCCTCATCTTCATTTCACATCATGAGTCATGTTACGTTCTGAGCTGAGTAACTGCTGGGGCTATTTTTATTTCAGCTCAGCGAGCTTCCTTCTCGCTGCTGCCACTGCCACCGCCACCGCCACTCGCTGCAGACCCAGGGGCAAAGGATGGGGAGATGGTGAGTGGCAGAGGGCGAGGGCAGGGGAAGCAGTGTTTGGGGTGGTGTCAGTGGAAAGGGGGACCGCTGCCCACCTAATCAATTTGGAAACAAAAATAGTATATGCCTTTTGAAAAACAACAGATGACCTGTGATGTGTGGTGTATTCACACACACACACATACGTATATATTTATTATACTGGGAGAGGGGAAGGGGGGAGGGAGAGAAATTCCTTTCGAGTGCTATTCACCAGTCTGGAAAAATAAAGAAGGAAAGCAGAACATTTTTTCCTTTCATCAAAACAGGAAAGAGAGGGGGAATGGGGTGGGGAGCATATCCATAGACATAATGGATGGTTGCCAGTGTAAGGAAATTGTTCCCTTCTACCCTAAACTTGGGGGTTGGGGAGGGGGAGAAATAGATGGTAATATGATCAGTGAAGGCTGCATCCCTTCCTCCCCACTTGATGGAGGAACGTGTATGCACACAGGAAAGTGCTGAGAAATCAGTGCCCCCAGCTTTGCCTTCTCTCTTTGAATCCTGCTCGAGCTGCACATCCGCAGAGATGTGAAATGCCTTTGCCTTCTCCTTCACCTCAAAGCGTGGGGCAGCACGGCACGGCCGGCACGGCCCCGCTCCCTGTCTGCCTTTGTCAGGGACTGTGCTCTGCCCTCTGCATGCGTCTGCGCGCTCTCCCCATCCTCTCCTCTCTGCCAGGTTTCTGCCAGGAATGGGTGAGATGAAGGAGGTGGTGAGGGGCTGGGGGAATCCCTCTGAACAGGGAGAAACAGGCAGAGGGGGGTGGTTCCCAGAGTAAGCCTGGCAGGTCCCATCAAACTCCTGCTCCCCAGGTGACACCTTCCCTTTCCCCTGGAGCCGCTGGCTCTGTCAGGGTTTTACTCATCCTTGGAAAGCATTTTCCCTGCCACGGGCGGGAAGGCAAATTATGCAAGCCCTGGGTACCCTGAGGCTCTGTCTTTCTTCACCACAAAATACAAACCCCAGGCTCCCTGCCTGTCTCTGTCTCCTTCCTTTGGTCTTTCTTCTCCTTTCCTCCTTTTTCCTTTATTAGACTGAACTCAGTCATTAGGAAGTCAGGGCAGCTCCCATGTCAGCAGCCTCTGGGGCAAATGGTGTAAGCCACATCATAAGCTACGTATGAGAGCTCTGTTCCGATCACTTGGCTCAGGACAAACCTCACACAACGGGGCATTGTGGTGTAAAACCGGTGCGCCATAGAACAGGTCTCCTGGTGAAAAGTAGGTGTAAAACTTACTCTAAGTGCTTCATTTCAGTGTCAGGGCTGGTCTGTTCCCCTCCACTGAGGGCTATGGCAGCCCCACGGTGTAGGTGTAGGGATTGCTCATCGCTCTCCTGAACTCAGAGACCAGAGCAGGAGCAACACCTAAGTTAGATACCTTGAGTGGGCGGGCTGAATACGCGTCGGCTTTCAACACCTACTAATTTATTTCCATTGATTGTTTTTCAAAATAGGACTCATCATGGAGAGGCTGAGACATCTCAGCTGTTCAGACTGAGTCTTGCTTTCCATTGTAAGCCCTGTTTTTCTTCCTGTTGTTTCACAACTCTCTCCCTTCTCTAAAAAAAAATGCAATAAATAAACTTAAAAAAAAACCAAACAAATTTCACCCCTCACATCGTGCCTCTGTGGATGGTGGCTAATAGATAATTTTTTCCACCAGATGAGGGGAGAGCAGCCTTGCAGTAAGGAACTGCCTATTGTCCTCAGACAAGTGTTGCTCTCCTGCCTAGTGATAAGAAAATAACTGAGGAGATGAGTTCAGCTGTTCACAAGTTTGAGAGCTCTAGTGGTGGTGAAAGTATTTTAATAAGAAACCCTGCTACAGGCTCTTAGGAAATTTGTTTTTGTTGTGGTTTGCCTGTGGGGCCGTTGCCAGCTAGCACAGCTGTGACCAGACCTTGACAAGCTGTGATGCTCTAATGGGACATTTTCATGGTCCAGCTACTTCAGGTAGCCTTGAAACATCTTCCCAATGTATGCAGTGTTGGTTTCAAACTCTTGTCCTGTGACATCTGGGACACCAATAACCCTGCAGGCCTCCACAACCCTCCCACAGGCCAGGTGAGGGGAAGATTCAGTCATCCCCATTAGTTTTAGGGGTTTGTGGGACAAATGTCAAGCTAATTTCACAGAAGTAAGAGAATCAAAGGAGAACCCGCCCGGCTCGAGACACAGCATTTTTAAGGACATGCATCCCTGTTGAACACTATACCAGTGAGACTGGCCCAGCCTTTAGGGAGTCTCAAGACCTCACCAGGGATAAATCTGTCTCTGTCTTAAAAACAGAAGGAATAAGGAAAAGCGACTGAAGCCCGAGTGGCTTGAATATCTCTTTGCTCTATTTCCAGGCAGGGTCATAGGTAGATGATTAGTCAAATTCCAAACATCCTCTTCCTTGCTGTCTGGAGGTTCAGCAGGGATTAGCTTTTTGTTTCTGAAGTCAAGCTTCTAAAAACTGCCCAGCATCATCCACATGAAAATAAATAACTCTATTTCTATCCCAGCTAAGATGTAACGTAGCCAGTTACTAAAAAAAAAAACAACACCAAACCCCACACCATACATATTCCCCCCCAAAATCAGGCCCTGCAGCAGCTCTTGTTGCTACTGAGCAAGACACAAGCAGCAGTCCCTGCTAGCTTTCTGCTGAGTCCTTCTTCTCTCCGACGGCAATATCTCTCCCTGCTGAGGAGTTTGATCAGTCCTCCCACACACAGGCTGTTCTGTCCTGGCCAGGCAGCCACTACAGCGTGGGGGACCCCCTACACAGCTTGAACCAGGTGGCATGAAGGTGGTGGAGCCACACTAGCTTATTTGAGGGCAGAAATCCTCAAAATGCACCTTAGCCTCCACTGACCCCTTATGAACCTTGAACACATAACGGGGTCATGGGCATTCACGACCTAGCTGCTCCCAGCTCCCTCTACCCAGATAGAAGGGCTTCCAGAAGTTGGTTTGGCCATCTCAGATCCTCAGCTTTCCCCCTGCTGAACACCAAGGAACCCCGGGCTACAGTGTTTCTTTGGCCGGTGCCACCTGGAGTGAGGTGAGATGGACCCAGACCCTTTTAAAACCTTTCTTTTGAAGCCTCCTACAGATTTCAGAAGGAGTTGCAGCACCCAGATAGACATTAGGGTAGCAACTCCACCCTGCTGGGTGGTTAGAGAAAATTATCATCACTTGAAATGGCTGGTACGCTTGCTGTCGGGACAGGATGGAGAATGAGGGGAATTCTAAGAGCGTCCTGAGGAATTTGGGGTGGGACAGGGCTAACGTGGCTGGAGCATCTAAGATAAAGACTTATTAAGATCTCCAGCGGTAGAAATGAACAAAGGTATGCCTTGCATTTCCACTTCCTCCCCCTTGAGCTCCAAAATTGAGAGCAAGCCATTTTAGACTTGGTTTGAGGGACTCCCAGGACACTCCTTATCTCTGCACTCATGCACCTCAGACAGCCCAGGCGTCGGAGCTGACATGGCTCTGACCAACTCCCCACCTGTAGGGAAATCTGCCCCCTGTTCTTCTGGGTTAGGGTGAAGGGAGGTGATCCCTTGTGACTCAAGAGCACCTTGACACGCTGCCCTAATGCAGGACCTTCTATTTTGTGTCTACATGACCTGTCTCTGTGATGGGAGGAGCAGAGCAGCTAGGCTATTTTAAGATAGTTATGAGGGAACCCCCAGTCTTCCTTGTGTTTCTGTGCTTCCTGACCAACACCCACATCCATGAGACCAAAGTGAGGTTCGGGGGTGTAGCTAGCCAACCTGGGAGGTGTTGGCAGGTGCCTACTACAGAGGAGCATTTGGTGGGCTGCCGGCTGCTCAGTTCTGGTAGCTGCTCCTCATACCCGGGCACTTGGGATGGTGCATATGCGAGTGCTGGTGTGAGACCATGTGCTTTAGAGAGGGTTTGGCTGCATGAAACTCACAGGCACCTAGATAGTCTAAGGGAGCATGTGTGATACTGCAAGATGAGGCCACTGGTATGCCAGTGGGTGTATGTATGTGAGAAAGGAAGAGAGAGGGCGAGAGTGAAGGAGAACACATGGATGCCCAGGGATGTGTGAATGAGACAAAATTTGCACGTAGCTGTGCATGCGAGCGGCTCGAATAGAAGCGTGTGCGTAGCATAGAAAAAGCAGGGAAGATGCTTGGGATTCAGAGTGAATGCCTGCCGAGTGCCTGCGGTGCATGACAGTGCAGGAATGTATCGGTGGATACGAGCCTGCACAAAGATGGTGCAGAAACCCCTCCTGGTCGTGCCTGAAGTGTGGGCTTTGCGAGTGTGCAACCCCACGCCGGGAGATCACTCGTATGCACATGAGAGGGCGTGCGTATGGGTGTTTTTTCAATAGGATATGACTCCTTCTTGAACTCACCTGTTAGCAGCCTTCCCCTCCCCATCCCTCTCCCCCCACAGCAAATATCTGCTTGCTTAATTTCCCTTCAGATGTTTATTACATCGTGGAGATAATCATGCAGCAAAATACCTCCGGGTGCCACGAGCAACACCAGACTGTCTTATAGGAACGTGTAAATTTCTCTGGCTTCTTTTTTTTCCCCTGCACACAAAGAGATGGAAGATATTAAAGCCGCCTCTCTCCCTGGAGCTAGTGCTGTAGCAGGGCAAGGAAGGCGGCGAGTGGAGCTCAGAGAAATGGGCTCCAGACTGAAACAGTGAGAACCTGGGGCCAAAAAAAATAACAAACTACTGTGCCGGGAACTCCTCTCTTCTTATCTCTTGCCGAGGAGGCAGGAATTTCTGTCCCCATTCCTCACGCGATATTAAAGCCACATTATACAGGTTACTGCAGCATTAGTCATTTTTAATTAATTTATCATTTAAATTAACACACTTTTTATTTTGTCAGCAATGGACTGCTACTCCCTCGCTAGATTTTTCGCTTGATACCCAGCCAAGAGGAGGGTGGCAAGTTATGCTCCACCCATCTCCTCTCCTTCATAAAAGGAGCAGCCCCAAGTGCCAGCTTAGTCTCTCTTGCAGCTCGCAGACTAAAATAAAGCTCCGTCAGCTCACTCGTCTCTCCTGCAATTTACCTTTTCTGCATTTTTTTTGGTTTTCCTTTTTTGTTGCAACAGAGTGCAGGAGGCAGCATCAGCGGCTCTACTCTGAGGCTTGTCAAGGCTCAGCGCCCGCACACACACACGCATGCACGCACGCAACCCAGAGAGAAAACATTTGCTCTCACCTGTCTCCAAATCCAAAGCAAACCTCCTGCCCAAGCAAACTGCCAACATTTGGAACGAGAAGGCACCTGAGCCAGAATCTAATGTAAGGCGAAAAAATTCAATGTACACTAGCAACTTTTTGCTAAAAAGCAAGAGGGAATAAGGAAGGAAAGGAGCATTTTAAGAAAAGGACACCTTAAGGAAGATTTCATTTTTTGGATTTCGCATCAAACTTTGGAAAAGTTTTTTTCTGATTTTTTTTTTTTTTTTTTTAGTTATTATTCTTTTATTACCATCTTTTTCTAAGAACATTGGGACATTGTTACCTGCATGTAGAAGCTTTTACATATATATATTATTTTTTTAAAAAGGAAGAATACCAAGAGGAAGAATAGCATGTGGACCACCTAGCCAAAGGCACCACTGAAGCATCCCTTGCGGCGAGGGGGACATAGACTCTGGATGTGTATAAATAATTCCGAGGGACTGCATTTTTTTCCCACCGGGCTTATGAGATAGCACAGAGGCAGGCGAGTCACCGAGAATTACTTCTGTCTCCCCTTACCACCACCACTACCAACACCTCCACGTCCTCTTCCAGAGGGCTCCTGCGATTCTCCCACCGCAGCCCGGCTTGGAGGGACATGGGAACGCGCGGCGCCCTCGATGCCTGAGGCTGGGCGGCCGCGGGGCTGTCTGCGGGAAGCGCTTCCCTGCCGGGGCTCGCCGTCCATGTGCCCGCAGCCGGCGGGGCCTGGAGTCGGGATGAATTTCGGCGTGGTCTTCGCGTTCATTCTCTCCCTGCCCCTGGCCCGCATGGAGGTGAGTTTCCGCCGCTGGCAGCGGGCGGTGCTGCCGAGCTGCCAGCCCCGGGATGGGGGGAGAGCCGGCGGCGGCCGCTCCCGCCCCGCAGGTGCGGCGGGGGAAGCCCGGGGGCGGCCGGGCGGGAGCGGAGGGCGCGGAGGGGGCGAGGGGCCCGGGCGGGCGGGCGATTCCCGGCCCCTCTCCGAGGGAGGGACTGCGGCGGGTGCGCCAGCGGCGGGCAGCGACCGCTGGAGCGGGCACCCCGCTAGAGCGGGCGCTCCCCTCGGGACGGGGCCGCCGGAGGCGCTTCGCCTGGGAATACGTGTCCCCCACCCCGTCTGCAGGGACAGGGAGCATACCAGGCCGAAGCGGCCCCTGGCTAATGTGGGAGAAAGTGCGCTGCTGGGGAGCTGCGGGGACCCCGCAGCTTCCCACTCTGCCTCACCCAGGGCTGTCACCCCGGGGCAGATGCCGGCTCCATCGAGCCTTTCACCCCATCCAGCGATTTTGGCATCGCTGCAGCGTCAGTGCGGCAGGGAACAAGGCCCATTTGGCACCTCTGGAATAACACAGTGTGAAACCCACCCTTGCATCACCAAGGGACTGGTGGAGAAAGGGCGTGGGGGTTTGGAGGTGGCAAGGAAGGGGCTGGCATGGGTAGAGGCACCAACACCGAATGGCACAGTTGTACAGCAAGGCGTGCCCACAGCTGGGGTGATGGGAAGAGGCAGGAGGTGTCTGCTGTGCTTCCACATCACACAAGGATCTTGTCGTGCAATCCTGAACACTCTGCTAAGGAGGAAGCTGGGCAGAGGGTGGGGGCCAGGTGATGAATTTGAACGAACATCCCAGCCCTCTTCAGTTTCCCCTGAAGCCTCATCCCAAGCCATGGCTGAGGAAAAGGAGCCCCAAGCCCCCAAATCCTTTGACCTCTGCCACCATGTTTCGTCATCTGATGGCATGCAGATTGAGGGGACCAGAAAGCCCCTAACATTCCTACACAGTGTTAGGTTCTCACTTCAGCTCATGGTAAAACTCTGGGTTGGATCCGCAACTTGGTTGTCAGGGGCAGGACATATCCTTCCACCAAAACTTTCCTCCCTTTGCATAATTTCTCTCTTTTCCTTCCTCATTTTTGGTCAGGGGAGTGGGACACCCCTTGTGGGGTGTCACGGAAGAGGTTGGGTGCAAAGCATCACGTTATCTCCCTATGGGCCCGTTTTGCCCTTGCCCAAGCCACAAAAGGAAGCAGTTAAAGCTGTGGGCTGCCCAGTGGTTATGTTTGTTTTGGGCAGAGGATGGTATTTCCTCTGTGGATGGCTCAGATCTCTTTCTCCCATGCAGCATGAAACGTCAGCTATGGTTGGTGCTGGGGAAGGGCGAAGGTGGAAAGTGTCTGATCCCAGGGGGCTGTTATTCAGTGCTGCTGTAATCACACTGAAATACTGCACAGCTCTGTGATAGCCTAGTAGGGTTAAAGTTTGGGAATTCTGGCCCTAGGTTTCATAGGAGGAATTGTGCTATTTGTCATTGTATGGCCAGAGAACCGAGAATATTTCTGCTTGGGTGGATGCTTCTGCCTGCAGCCAGTCCCCACATCTACTTTGAGGGCAGTGTGTTTGTTGCACCCTCTGCACCAAGCACACACAGCACAGTTCCCACCAGACTGCTGAACCGTAATTGTCCTCTGAACAGAGCTTGCACTTCTTCCCAGCCCTGACAGAGAAAGTGCATGAGGAACAGTAGCTCCCCAGATCAGTAGAGGCCTGAAGGAGGAGACGGAGCCTTCTTAGTCCCTCTCCCTCTTCGATCACACCCACCTGGAGCTGGAGGGCCCTGGAGCTCTTCCAGCCAGAGGGAGTACAAGCCTCAGCGGGAAGGTATTTGCCAGTTGGGAAGCGAGGATGCTAAGCCTATTTGCATTTGCCCTGCAGGCTGTAATAGTTGCCTTGCAACATTTACAGAGATGGGCTGAGCCCATCGTGGTTGTGCTGGGGTGAAGCCCCACTGGCAGGCTTTCTGGAATTCCCAAGGAATGAGGTGTGGCTGGGCGCTTGCTTATAACCTCGGCCCAGGTCCCCATTGCATTTTCCTGCTGCCCAGCTTCAGCGTTCTTCCGTAGTCTTCCTAGCATGAGGCAGTGACAAGGACAAAGCAGTGGAAGCTGGGATGGATGACACGTCTGGGGTGAGCTCGTGGAAGGAGCCAGGCGAGTCGTCCCTGCCTCCCTCTCACCATCAGCTGATGTGAAGCAGCAGGAGAGAATGACAGGGTTCCTGTGCTGTTTGCAGTGCTGCCGGTACACAGCCAGCTCCGGGGGTGGAAATGCTTCCAGCCCTTGCCGGGGAGGTGTGGGGGGAGCACGGAGGAGCGGTGGAGTCACCCTTGAAATGGGAAAAGGGTGGGTAGGTCTGGCTGTATTTTAGGAACGTGGGCTAGATCAAACATTGTTTGATTATTTTAAAGAGGGAAAACATAACCCTCCATCCCACATGGAAGGGGCTAATCTGATGAGGGTTGTGCCTGCTGTGGGGTCCTCTGGCAGGCAGATGTCAGAGTCCCCCCTGTAGCCTGGAATGGTGCTAGAAGGGTGTAAGCCCTGTGCCAGGGGAGGGCTGGTGGCAGGTGCTGCTGGTCTTGCTCTCTGCCAGGGAATGCGGTGGAGTCTCCCCTCAGGGTCCTCACATCAGCTTCAGAGGGAATTAAAAAATGCTGTTTGTTTGGGTTTTTTTGCCTAGCTGATCATTCGAGACCCTGCTGCTAAGATTCCTTGCCATGGTCAGTGTGGAGGTACTCAGAAAGTTCTCATCTCCTGGGCAGAGGACCGGATAGCTGGGTGCTTCCCCGCCATTCCCAAACTGGTACTGCTGCTACCTTTCTGTCCTTCTGTGGAGTCACACGTGGGTGTGTGTACGCACACTAACACAGAAAAGGGAACGGGAGGAGTCCTCACCTTGGGAGTACCCTTGACTGGTTTCTTTGAGCCCTGAGGGTCCGCCTTCCCTGCTGGTTGCACAGTCTTTGCTCCCTCCTCTGTACCTGCTGTGCTAACAAGAGACTCACCTCCAGGCAAGACTCTGAAACCCTTTACCAAGGGAGGACTGGAGCACAGTCCTGCACATTTCCTGCACTACCTTGACAGCAGGTGATGGTGAGGGGACCTTTCAGCATCCCTCGTGATCAAAAGCTTATGTTGGCAGAAAACTCCAGAGGCGAGAGGTGGTGGGGTTAGGGAGGAGGCAGGTTTTGGGGGAGCGCATGTGTGGGGAGCAGGGCAGGAGAATGTCTTGTTTGCAGGGCATTGCTGCATCTGTGTTGGTTTGCAGTGGCCAAACAGCGCTGCTGGATGTCTGGGAGGAGGGAGGCAAAGCCAAGAGGCCCCGGTGTCACAGCCACAGCACAGGGCGGCTGCAGGGCAGGCAGGGCCCCTGCCCAGGTGCTCTGCTGGCTTCTGTCAGATGTGCTGTGGTGTGCCCTTCATGCACCAGCACCAGCACCCCGCTCAAGAAGGGGAGTGGATGTCCCTGTCAAGGGACTGGCAGATTGGGGGGTGCCCCTGCCGCTCAGGGAAGAGTCAGGAACTGGGGGGCAGAGGGAGGGAGGGAAGAACAAACTTACTTTCTTCTAAGAATTCAGGGCCTCGCAGGAATACGAGGCCAGGCCTTGGGGCACTTGACAGCCAGCCAAGAGTCCATTGAGACAAAAGTCTTCTTTGATCTGCCGCACAGTTAAAAAAGGAGATTGTTAACCTGTGTTAGACAAATAAACTCCAGAGGAGCTGCTAAGCAGGAAAAGCACCAGCTGCTTGGGCTAGTCTGTCAGGGATCCCACATCTTGCAATACTCCTCCACCTTCTGACTGCATGGGATCAGGTGGACATGGCTGATGGACCTCTGCTTCCCTGTGTCACATCCCCACGGGTGCCCCAAGCCTGGGTGTGTGTGGTGCCCTGCTCTCAGAGGCTCTCAGACATAGGGCTGGGGGGCCAGAGACACGGCTGTTCCCAGTGACAGACCCCAAAGGGAGCAAGGACAAGGCGTGGCAGCTCAGGTTGTGTAGCTGTTCTTAGGCCAGCCTTGGACTTGGTTCTGCACTACAAGGGTAAAGGAAGGAGCTTCACAGGCTTGCAGTTGTCACTAGCAGAGTTGCCTTACAAAAATGGGGGAGGAGGACAGGATTATGAGCCATGTGGGCTGGTGTTACACCATAGCCATGCTGGTAGTATCTGCATCAAGAAAAAATTGGCATCTAAAACTGCTGCTGTGAGCAGGGAGTGGAGCTTATTGCTGCAGGCAGTCCCCAGAAATCCTGAGGGCCTGCATTTGCAATCCCTGATTCATATCTGTTTCCCCTGCTCAGATAGCAAGGTGACACCTCCCAGCTCGCTTCCAAAGTCCCCGAGTCTCGTAACACCTGCCCACGCTCTCCCCCAGTGAGTGCTGGAGTTTAAAATAAAGTTTCATTTCCTACACGTATTAAGTGTCAGGAAGGACCAGGGGCGTCCGTGCAGAGCAGCATTCGTACACAAATGCATTTAGCTGACAGGTGCAAACATTAAAAGCCTGCAATTTCACTACCCAGCGCTGAGCTCTGACTGCAAGTACCGGGAATTGCAAATGATCCCTTTTCCAGTAAAGGTGTGTGGCACAAGGCAGGGAAGTGCTGCAGAACCTCTCTGGCACTGGGCTGTTGGTCTCCCTCTTCCTCACGCAGCAGGAGTTGTCAGAAGGCATCTTCATTTCACAGCTATTCAGTGATCCCTGAATTATACAAGTCTCTCTCTTGCTGTGCATTCATCACTGATGCTGCTTCCCTCTCCCTCAGAGACTGAAGAAGTAATGCCTGGGGATGTAAAGTCTGCTTTTTGCTGCAGGCGGAGAGCCAGATCTGTGGTGAGATGTGACAGTGACAGGGATGGACCGGGGCAGGGAGGCTCGATCTGGCTCAAGCTCTCTGAGGGATCTGGCTGCCCAGGTTTAGGACACTAGTGTTGTCTGCTCTGCAGCTCTCCCACGAGGTTTCTGCCCCATGACTTGGGCTGCAGCAGCCTTCACGCCACCGTGTCCTAGTTTAGTATTACAGGGTGGTCTGACAGGGCTGAGGAGGGACCACTCCTGTTGCCCTGCTATAGAAGTGAACAGCGGGTGTCCAAGGGACAGGCACATGCGAGAGAGTGCCAGGCTCAGTCAGCCATGCAAAAGTCCTCAAGCTTTAAAGCCAACGTTTAGCCACCTGCCTGGTGGTTTTTCTCAACTTTAATCGGAAGGGAAGTGTTCTGCACTGAACACAGGCAGGGAGAGAATAGCTGCACACTGGAGGACCACACACATGCCACCATAAAAACCCACAAGAAAATCTCTGTGTTTCACAAGCACACGAGCCAAGTTCTCCTCTCAGTTACAGGGGCATGTGTAGGGCTGTGGCTCAGACACCATCCAGCACCCAGCTGAAAGAGCAGCTTTTCCGCTTGAGTAGCCCTGAATGAAGAGAGCTGGGAGCAAAGCAAACACTTTGGCCAGTACTTTCCTCCATCTCTTTTTCTAGTCTTTCGGAAGTATGTATTAATCAGCACTTGCTTTCCCACACCGCTCCTTTGTAGTCTTATTAAGTGCTGTCACTGGGACCCACTCAGAATAAAATTCCCAAGATGCTGATGGCATTGCACCTGCCTGCACAAACTCTGAATTTGGTCCATTGTCTGATGTTACTAAACCTGCTAATTTAAGTTTTTTTGGTGCTGGTATGCAGTGACATCCCAACTCCAATATGTTTCTTACTCCAAATCAGCTCCTCAGCCCACCACCTCCCTGCAGTCTTTGTGGTTTCACTGTGGGCTCATGCCAGAGCAGCCTCAGCTGTGAAGGTCAGTCTTCCTCTCCACCCCTCGTCTTTTTTTTTCCTTAAAAAAGAGTATGCAAATGATGTATATTATTGGGCCTCTGTGGTTTGAAAACACGCGCACGCACACGCACATACACACGATAACTGACAAAGCCCGTGAGGGAGTTTCATAACAGAGGGAAATATTGGGAAGGTTTTATCTGATAGTGTAAGGGAAGTCTGTTAAAACGCCTTTACTGCAGGCAGCAGGAATGAGAAGCCACCTGGAGAACTCATACAGCATCGGAGAAGGAAGCCTTGTTGGCTGCTCGCATAGTGTTTGGGGCTCTGCTGCACAGCCTGGGTGTTTTTTGGCTTTTTTAGTCTCCAGACAACTTTGTGAGAGACAGAAAGAGAGGCTCTCTTGCTTTTGTTTAGGTTTCAGGCTCATGCCTTCTTGAGGCACAAAGCCCTCAAGGTTTAAAAGCCAGTGCAAGACAACGCGTATCTGCATTTTGCTGGTTGTGTCTCCTGCGTGCTTGATTCCCCCCATCCCACTCCATGACCCAGTCAGTATTTGCAGACCACGTCTCTAATGCTTGTTTCTCCCTTTCTTTTTTTTTTTTTCATCTGGCAGGGGGACCCCATACCTGAAGACATTTACGAGATTTTGGGTGGCAGCTCAGTGCGCTCCATCAGTGACCTCCAGCGTGCCCTGCGGATAGACTCCGTAGGTAAATCTCTTCACCAAAAACTCCTCTATTTTTTCTTAAGTCTTTGGGGGGTTGGGCAGGGATATTCCATTTTCCAGCAGGCACACTATCAACAGACCTCACTGTAAATATAGGAACCATTTAGGAGCCAAGACCTGGTTATTTACACACCTAGTCCCCTTGAAACTTGTGGGAGTTAAAGGCAACTAGATGCCTTTTTAGATCTCCTACTAACTATCTGGTCTAATGAGGGTCACTGGCTTCCAAAAATAATAGGAGCTGGGCAAGGTGAGTCCAAAAAACTGAGGTCAGCACTTTTCACCCAGGCAGGAGGGCTTAAACTGGGCACGGATCAGTTCTAGGAGGTGGCAAAATGGGAGGTGGAAATAGGGTGACAGAGGAGGGAAGGGCTGAGTGGGTTTTCAGGTTTAGCATCCACAAAAGGCCATGGGCTCCCAGAGGCTCTTAGGATAAGCGCTGCAGAGCACGTGTCCAGGGGTGAGATACGGGACAGGGGCTAAGTCAGGGTACCATTGCTTCACCTTCTGCCCGTAGATAAGAGCTCCAGGGGCTGCAGTGCCGTGGGGTCACTTGGCCAGGGCTGAGTGCAGTGAGCAGCAGGAGCAGCGAAGCGTGGAGGGGTCGGCACGTGTGGGAACTGGAGCACGCGCCACGGCGGCTGGGCTGGCCCAGGAATTTATTTATAAACGGTCTCTTCAGAGCAAATTCCTTTCTATTCTAACCCTGCTCCCGCCCGTCGTCCCCCAGCCCCCCCAGCTCGCCTTCTCTCTCGTGTTTTGTCTGTTTGGAGCTTTGTAATCCTTGCCGAGACACTATCTACGGGGGAACAGAATTTCCTGCTTTTGTTTCCTATGCCAGTCCAACCACTGGCGCAGTCTCAAAAGCATTCCCGCTGCCTTTCAAAACGGCCCTGGAGGGGCAGGGGGGGAAAGCGAGGGGGAGGGCACCAGCTGCGTTCAGCTATTGTTTGTCTTAGAAAGAGGCGACGAGGCTCCCCACCACTGCCAGGGCCACTCCCTGCCCTCACCAGTTCCCTCCTCCTTGTCCACCAGCCACACAATGGGGCAACTTCCAAAATTAGCTGTGGTGGATTGTCCCAGGCTGGTCCCCCCATCCCAACTGTCTTCAGTGCTGACCTGGGGTGTAGAAGGACAACCTGGAGGAGGGAGGGAAATGGGTTTCAATAGGAGATTCCTTTCCAGTCAACAGTTGTTGCTATTTTTCCCCTCCATTTCTGTCCTCTCATCAACTCAACCTGTGCTCAAAAGACAGCATGTGTGTGTGTGTGTCCCCCTCCCCATTTGATGAAGTGCCAGGCAGCAGAGGATGAAGGGGTGGGGCAGGAGTGGCTGAGATGTGTGCAGTCTGTCATGGCCTGGTGTCCAGGGAACAGATACATCTCTATCACAGTTACTAACCACCCTCATGGCTAAGAAATAAAATGGGCTTCTCTTGTTGTCTCGAGAAGCCCAGAGGTATGGGAGAAGTCTGTGGAGCTTTCAGTCACTGGTTTCACTTCAGGTCCCCTATGGGAAAGACTGGTGTGGGAAACAGAAAGTGGTGCTGTGAAGCAGTTTCTTTGTTGCACTCCGTGGCTCTCATCTGCTCCTAGATACTGTCTGAGGGGCATTGACATTTGCTTGCCCTGTGTGGAATTAGAGTATTTGCTAATTAGTATGTTATCAAAATAATACCAAAGTGTCTGGAGCTATTCCCTGTGCTATCCGTGCACCCTGTATGTGTCACAGCTGCTTCTCTCCACCAACTGCACAAGCAGCCAGAATGAGGCAGCTCCAGGAGGCAGATGAGCTGAGATAGTGCTCTCCTGACCTTACACACTACTGTAGACCCCACAACAGAGGTGTGTAGAATGGGAGTCATCTCCCTTAGCTGTGGCTGCCTGCAAAGTAGGTGTGTCATCTAAGCCAGTCATCCAGGCATCTTCTCTAGCCCCAGGAGAACTACAGGCCCTTCTTCAGTGTGATCCACCAGTTCTCCTTCTGGGCATCTGCCTCAGGGAGAGACAAATGGCAGCTAGAATTGATCACACCTCTCCAGCTGCTTTAAAGGGTGTCTGTCTGTCTCTCCACCTCAGGTGTAGATGTTGACTACTCAGGCATATATGATTCCTGCCTCTGTGCACCTATCCCAAATCCTTCAGCAGCTGCTGCAGAGCTGAGCAGAGAGCAAAGTCTCTGCTGCCCCTTATAAGAGGGCTGCACTAGGGTAGGGCTGAGGAAGGGGAATGGGACATGATAGGTAAGGGAAGTCCGCTCCACCACGCATCTGATAAACAGAGATCTTCCACTGGTCCCAAATTCCCTTTAAGAAAATTGCTCCCTTGATGCTGACGTCCATTCAGTTTCCTTCAGCTGCTAAAGCAGGTCAGAGAAGGAAAGAGCTGTGGCTGGGTGGGAGCTATCTTCGAGTGCAGCCATTGTCCGGAGCTCAGGAGGGGCTGCATGTTGGAGTGCTCCGTGGGGATTATGGGCATTTCTCTATTCAGCACTTCCTATGGGAAAAAGCAGTGGGGTGGGAGGGAACCGCTCAGGGCTGGCCTGAATGCTATCAGTCTTCCTCTCCCATCGCTGACTGAACCACCTCCAGATCCTGCCACTTACCTAAGAGCAGTATAGAGGAAAAGTAATTTTAACTCTATTTTTCTGTTATTCTGTCACAAAACTGCTCTAACCTAGAGCAGCTGAGGTGTGGTGGGAGAGAGAAAGCAAGCATTCCGCCTATCACACATCACCTCCTTCACCTGCCCTCCCACCTCCCAGATCTCCCAGTCCCAAGCCACCCCTGCAAGGCACCTCAGTGTTATATACCAAATGTTCTGCTGATTCCATTTGGTCTTTGATCCTCCTTGCTGTATCTTGGTCTCAGCTGGCCAATCTGAATCCCTCTGCTACTCCTCTCTGATACCAAAAAGCCCTGGCATGGGCCTTATTGTTCTTGAGCTGGAGTTTTCCTCCCCCAGACCTGACTGGGACCCTTCTTTCATGGATAAGCTTGTTGCTTTGAGCTGCCCAGTCTGAGCCAAGGGCAAATCTAGAGTGTGCTCCAGCACGGCTGTGACCTTGCTGGTGGGTTTACACCTAGTGTGATGTTCTGGGGCTGTGGCTTGTGCCATGTCCCTCCACTTTGCCTGATGATCTGAGCATAAGTGCCTGCTGTCTTCTCCTGCTTGTACCTGGTGCTATAAGGTCATGCCTTTTCCCTTTGCAGAGCAGGATAGCTCAAGCCTGAGCCTGAATGCAACTCAGCCTGGTCAAAACCCTGTGGCTCTGTCTCGAGAGCGACGAAGCCTAGGTGAGTCAGGGGTCTTGCACCTCGTGATTGTTGGAGCACTTACCTCAGCAGCCATGGGTGGGTGCAGATGCATGTCTGAGACACAGATGTAGGGGTAGAGGTTGCAGTGAGCGTGTATGTGTACACAGATGAGAATGAGGGTCTGGGCCTTGAGTAGGAGCTGGGTGTTACACCCCAGGAGGGCAGGAGAGGGAGTCTGGAGCTCTTCAAGCTGCTCTACTTTAAATCCTGCCGGTCTTGGTTTGCTCTAAAGAAGTGTCATCTCCTGCCTAGGACTGTGCTGCTGCAGTGAGAAGCATCATTCTACTGGGACCTCCTCCACAGGGCATGGCTCTGTACAGGGAGAGAGCTGGAGGGGTGGGAGAAGGAGAAAGAACATGTGTGTGTGTGTGTGTGTGTGTGTGTGTGAGAGCCATGCAGGGCCTTTCTCTTCCAGCAGAGGTGGCTGCAGTGGGTTGGTAACAGCTGCAAAGCCCATTTCATCCCCCGTTATTCTCTTGGCTCTCACAGACGCCCTGGCAGCAGCAGAGACAGCTGTCCTTGCGGAGTGCAAGACGCGGGAGGTGGTCTTTGAAATCTCCCGCAACATGGTGGACAGCACCAATGCCAACTTTGTGGTGTGGCCGCCCTGTGTGGAGGTGCAGCGCTGCTCCGGGTGCTGCAACAACCGCAACGTGCAGTGTCGCCCCACACAGATCCGTGTCCGGCACGTCCAGGTAGGGGAGACACCTCCCACTGCTCCCTCCTCCTGCCGCCCACTGCCATCCCAATGCCCCAAAACCAAGCCCACAGCTGCCTGCCTTGCACCCCGTCTGTGGTCACAACCTCTGCGCTGGCCATGCAGCGCTGCAGCCACTGGCGCCGGTCACGTCCATGCCAGCTGCTGGGAGGGCTGGTGCTGTCCAGCAGCTGGGGACTGTCACCATGCAGAGCTACAGGGCATAATCCCCAGCTGCAGCTCCATGCCACGGGTCTTTCTATGGCTCGAGGCAGCCTTGTCTGCTATGTTAGAGCAGAAGAAATGGGGCGCTTTCATCACGGTAACTGTTTTTGTTGCAAAAAGAGGAGGGCTTGCAGCGTCAGTCTCCTTCCCCCCACTGCTGCTGCAGCTTCTTTCCAAGACACGCACTGAAGCAGCTTCTCCTTCTCAGCCCACAGTTACCTCCTGACCTGCTCCAGCAGCCAGCAGGCACCTGATGGCTAACCTCTTGCTCTGATCCTCCCCTCACAGCTACCAGTGATCTCCTCACAGCTTCCTCCCAGACAGCTTGTTTAAAAATAATATTCATCCCGTACTAATCCTCTGCCTGAGCTGTAAGAGACTCCCCCGGGCAGGCAGCAGAGGTTGGCTGGGAGAGATTGTATTCACGCAGCCCTTTTCATCAGGAAATTCCTTTCTCAGAAAAGCCAGGCTGAATGAGGGAAAAATAGGGGGGAGCAGGAGTTGTTTTTCTGGAAAAAAACAAGTGAGAGGTCAAAAGCCAGCCTGAAAAAGTGACCTGGAAATGGTTTCTTTGAGGACAGAGGTCTCTCTATTGTTTGGCTGGAAGTGTTTGTCTAGTGAGCAGCGTGTGGTCTGAAGTGTGTGGAGTGGGCTTTCAAGGAAAGATAAACAGCCTGGCTGCTTCAGCACTGGCTGAGGGATGCTGCTGGGGGCAGTGGGTTTAGAGGAATTCCATCCCAGACACACAGCACAGTGAGTATTTATAGCTTGTGGAGCTCTTCAGGGACCGCAGACTTGTTAGATAAGCTGAGTGGGGTCAGGCCCGGCTGCTGCTGGAGTGGGAGGACCCCCTAGAAAGCTTGTGCCCTGTGGTGGGATGTGGAGCAATGTGTCTTCCCTCTGACTCAGCACTGGTGGAGAGTCCGGGGGAATTTCCAGAGCACCGCCTTTCCCATGAAACACAGAGCTGAGGGCTTCAGCCCTGCGAGTTATTAAAGAGCTTGAGACAAATTCAGACAGGCCTCAGCAAAGCTGGTGAAGCTATGTTAGCTTGCATTGGGCCTGAGTTTTCCTCCTTTTGCTCTTCCTGTAATTTGCTGTGGGAGTTCGTTCTGGTTGCCCCCAGGTCTCCACCATCACATCTGTCAGAAACAGGATAGCAAGTTCTCCATGCTCCTTGTTTCTGCCTGTGATCAGCCAGTCATCCTGCTTGAGCAGCAGCAATAGTTAGGAACAGGGGAGCCAACCAGAGACATCCAAACTTGTCTGGTCTGGGTCTGCTCTGCTGGTATGTTCAGAATTATTTGCCATGCACAACACCCCAACTTGAACCATGCTTCCTAAGCTGCCTTCTGACCCTTTAGGAAGAAAACCAGTACTGAAGAGCACTGACAGTGATTATTTTTACAGAGTGGGAGCCGCAGCTGTATTAATCTTTTGCTTGCTTCTCTCTTCCAAACAGGTGAACAAGATCGAATTTGTCCAGAGGAAGCCAATATTCAAAAAAGTTGTTGTGCCTTTGGAGGACCATGTGCAGTGTCGGTGTGAAGCTGTGTTCCGACCTCCTCCCAGGAACATCCGTCCAGGGCCACGTGAACAGAGACGTAAGGATCTTGGCATTAGTAGAATGGAGGCAGGCATGAGAGGGGAGGCTGGGGAGAGAGGGAAGAGCCCTCCACTGGTTTCAATCTACTTAGCTACAGTGAATCCCACAGGCCTTCGCTGGTTTATACCAGCTGAGGGACCTTTCCCAGGATGTCTGCCTGCCAGCAAGGGGCTGAAACCAAGGGAAGTGAAGGAGGGGAAGGTGAGAGGTGAGGGGAAGGGCATGGTGGGAAAAGGGAGAGGGCAGAGACTGCAGAGAACAGAGGACAAGGGACATAAGAACAGAAAGAGGCCTTGTGGCCCTCCTGTTGCAGAGCTCTTTGTTGACAGTGTGTGGAGAAAGATATTTCAACATGAGCCGGCTGCACCTCGCTGTACAGACACTCTCCCCTCTGTTTTGGCAGGCCTGTCACCATCGTTCACCACAGCCGCTGTCTCTCAGAGGCAGCGAGTACGCCGGCCGCCGGCACAGAAGAGGAAACATAAGAAGTACAAGCATGTCAACGATAAGAAAGTGCTGAAAGAAATCCTCATAGCATAGAAGTGCTGGCAGGGGAGACAGAGCACAAGGCAGGTAACAGCAAGCTACTCTTCCAGTTGGGAGAGATGTCCTCCTGGGACATGGAATCTTGGACCCTTCCCACAGCACTGGCCACTTATTCAGCGTGGGGCTACTGCAGGATCAAACCTGGGCTGAAGAAGGGGGAAGGACTAGGTTGGGTGCCAACATATGCATCCTATTTATGCCTATAAGTTGGAAGGATCAGGCCATCCTTGCTCCAGCCATCCTTGCTCTTGGGCCCTGCCCTCTCCCTTCCCTGCCTTCCTTACAGACAGAAAACAAGCCTGACTTCTCTCTATACCTAAATTCCCTCAGGGTCCATGTAATTCATCTCTTCTGTGGAGCAATTCCCATCCTCCTTTCTCTATTGATTCTCCATCAAAAGCAGAGAATTAATGTTGCTCTGGGGATCCCTTTTCCTTTTATTTCATTAGTTGAGTTGGCAGAAAGACTGAAAAGGAGCAACACTTTCAGTTCATCATTCTCCTAGCGGGAAACCTATGTGCATAAGAAAGGTCATAGCAGGGAAAAGGAGAACTGGAATCTCTGGCAAGAGATCTGGACTTCATCAGGCCAGGGTCTGATTTTTCTCTCCATGACTTGTGTAAACAGGAGTAATTCCCTCATCATCAGAAGAATTTCACTGGTACAAGGGAAAGGAGAATAAGCCCTGCTTCCCTATGAGAGAGAAAGGTACAGAAAAGAGAGAAAGAGTAGTCAGGGCACAGATCAGGGGGAGCTGAATTTAGAGAGAGGCAACACAGCTTAACAGGGAGAGCCCTGACCCATGGCTCAGTGGTTCCAGCTCTGCCGCAGCCCCTTGAATGAGCCCAGGACACTCACTTCACATTCACTTCCCCTCACCTGGGAGAGGAGATGGCAGGCTTCCATCCGTGGCATTTCAGGCGCTGGGGGAAAGGGGCACCTGGCAGTGTCTTGGGCTTAGGATTCCCATGCTTAGTGCTATGAGGGCTCAAATTATCCCAGGATTCTGCTGGTTGGCCTAAAGTTCCCAGGGTAGAAAATGATGCAAACCCATGCAAATCTCAGCTCTGGCTCAAGCTGCTCAGGGTAAAAAACAGAGAAGGTCAAAAGTCCTTCCAGCCTTCTAATCTGGCATTTTGACACAAACATTTCCAGAGGAGAAAAGGGAATAGAAGAGTAGTTGCAGTGGGAAAGAGTTACATATTCTAATGCTGTGTTTGGTTTTGTTTCACTTCCAGGTTTATTTAATATATTTGCTGTATTGCCCCCATGGGGTCGTTGGAGTGATAACTTTTCCTCTTTGTCCATCTGCCTCGACGTCTGATTCAGACGGCAACTGGTGCTTCCCTTTCCATCAGTGGACCTTCTCCCCCCAGAGCCTCCCTTCTTTCATTTATTAGCATAATTTTAAAGTTTTACACACACACACACACACACAAAAGGACAAAGATGACCTTATATATATATATATATATATGAGAAAAGAACAAAGTACAGATAAAACCACGAATGCCAACAGCCACAACTTGTGACGAGGACAGGACAATGCCTTCCCTGCTACAGAGGACAGGATGGAAAATGTGAAAAGGAAAGTGGGTCCAATTTCTTCTAAGGGAAGGAGAAGACCACATGGACAGAGGGCAGAAGGGGAACATTCTCCCTTTTCCTCATGCTTCTGGTAAGGCTGGGGGGCCCGGCTGAGATCTGCACTTGCACTGGACCTACATTTTGGAAACAGGCACGTCTCAGATTGCAAGCGGCGACCAATGATGGAAAATGCACTAAGGACTTTTATCAGCCTACCTGGACAGATATATATTTTTAATGTGCGTGTGTATATTTTATTTTAAAAGAGAAAAACCAAAACCACTAAGATACACAACATCTCGGGGAACAGAACAAGCAAGCAAAGAAACAAAACAAATACAAAACAAAGAAGCCAAATGCATTCCCCCCCCCTCCCCTTCCCCTCCTGCTCCTGGTGCTGACTGGAAGGTGTTTGGATCGTGGGGAAGGAGCACATGGCGGCAGAATCGTCTCCACGCCCCCGGCCCCTGCCAAGAGGAGCCATCTTTGCACATACTTGTGGAGAATTCAACTTTCCAGGCTTGGACTCAAATTATTTTTTAAAGTTGCTCTGTATGTGTGCGCGTGTATATGTGTGTGTGTGTGTGTATATCTATATACGTGTGCGTGTGTGTGTGTATGTGTATTTATACATGCATATATAAATATATATATATAAATATGTTCTTAAATGGGTTTCATTCCCCAGTGGCAGGAAGCTCAGAGGCACGTGCATGCATTGGCTTCACTGGTCTGGCAGAAAAGCACACTGTTACTGCAACGTGCCTGCGAGGCCCAGGATGAGGCAGGCAGAGGCATCATCTGATCTCTCTCTCTCTTTTGTTGCCCTTTTCTCTCACTCTGCACCATCCCCCCAGCACAACTTCCTTGCAGGAGGCAAAGTGGCACCACAACAAGACCAAGGACAGCCAAACTTAGAAGCATGACTTAATCTCAGTGAGCTGTCCTTGCCTGCTCTGTGGTCCTGAAAGCAGAATCATGTTATTCCCATGAGATTTTTAACCCCTTCTTGGGTGTCATGCATGCCATGCCGCCCCTGATCTCTCCCTGCCAATGTCTCTACATTTTCCATTCTTTTCCTCTCATTTTTCTCAAATTCCTTCTTGGTCTCTTTGCCCATTAGATGATCCTAAGTCACCTAGGTTGGAAGTTGATCCATGATGTGGGCAGCTCTGTGTAGCTATAGAGAAAGAAATGAGGGTGGTCTTTGCAGTTGGCAGCAGCCATCTGAAACAGAAATGAGCTCTTCTAAGTGAGGAGGACTTGGAGAACAACTTGGAGGGTCAATTGTAGAGTCCCTCCTGGGCCAGTGCCTATCTCCAAGGAGGGAGGAGGACTGTGTGGGCAAGGGCTGTTTCTGCACACTTAATACTCAGTCACCATTAGCAGAAAGGTTACATACAGTGGAAATTCCCAGCTTCACCTTGGAGTCATGGTCTCAGATGGTGCCATGCTGGGTACTGCAGTTACTCATGAAGAAAACACTTGCCAAGAGTGATTGCAGCAGTCCCCCTGCCCCTCCTGCCTCCAGCCACTTCTCCCATCACATGCACACACCCCTATTGCAGGGCAAAGCCCTGGAGGGAGACTGGGGAAGAAGCCAAAGCCACAACCTGGGAGCTGTTACAAGTTGTGGAGGAACCCAGTCCTCACCTCCTGCAAGCCCAGAGCACTTCTTGTACCACTGCCAAGGTGGCACATTTCTCCCTCCCTCTATCCCCAAGCCCTCAAGTCTTAAGATACTTTGTTTTGCTGTTCCAAAGTCATTTCTTTTGGTTTGTAAAGATGTTTTATTTTAATGTTTTTGCCTTTTCTTTTTTTAAATGTAAGATTAATTTATACTCAGTACTGTATTTAAAGTTGTAAAAAAAAAAAAAAAGGAAAAAAAAAGAAAAAAGAAAACCACCTCTCAAACAGCATTTTCTCTTTCTTTTGTGAGCTAAATGAAAAGCAGAGGCCAAACCAGCTCACCGCAGAGCACAGCAGGATTCCCAGGCCCTCCAGTTTCCTTTTCAGGACACTTGTTCTGAGATAGCAGAGAGAAGCAACCAAAGCTGGGAAAGTCCTGAGAGCCCATGCACAGCCCTGCCCACGGCCGGCTGTGCTGCGCTCCTCCTTCCTCACTTGGGCTGGTTTGAAATGACTCAGGTGCTGGGGATTTTGTCTCAAAGAGGTCCCCTTCTCTTTAGCTGCTCTGCTTGGACACCCGGCCAGAATTTCCCTGTGCTTTCATCCTATCTCCGGATTCCTCTGCTTTGAAGGGCTTGGGACAGTCGGCACTGTTTACACTCCCCAAAGCTGTACAAACAGTCAGCCCCTTCCCTCCTTAGTCACCTCGTCTAGACAACAGCAGTCCTTCCCTCGGTCGGAAAGGCCGCTTTGTTTCCCTTTCCTCCCAGCAAAGGAGGTATCACATATCTGGCACTTGGATGCGAGGCTGTGAGGACTGAAGGCAGCTGCTGCCCTGTGCCTCAATATTGGGGTCCCCTCAGCACCCCTAGTCCATGGCTCAGCTATGAGGAACGTAGACCCGAGTGGGGACTTGTGCTGAAAAAGGTGAACCCAGGGACCTCAGTGTGTAGGAGTGTTCCAGGCTGTCCTTAAAGGGCATGCCTGGCACTCCCAGGTGTGCACCCTGCTGGACATGGACCATTTTGGGCTGATGAGATGTTTTCCCTGATCCTCCAAAGGGAGTTGGAGTGGGGGTGAGCTTTATCTGCTCCCAAGGATGGAAAGCACAGGCAAAATCACAATTAGGATAGTAATCACATTCCCACTTAGGATAATCTGGTGAAAAAAGAGAGTTTTGGCGTGAGACTTCTTTGTGCTTGAGGGTCTGCTCAGTAGGGAATTTGGGAAGCAAAGGGTGCAAAGAAGGGTATAAGGGACAGAAAGCATGGGTCCATCATCCTACACCAGGAGTGGAAGAAAGGAGTTGGCATCCCAAGGGTCCAGCACACCAAGGCAGCCCCTGTGCAACCCCATCTGCGAGCTCACATCTCTGCTTTTAACAGCTCGAAATTAATCAGTGCTGAAATACTCCATGGGCCCGGGTGCCTGGAGCCAACACCTCCACGGCACATGGAGCCACACGATCAGCTGCTCCCTCAGGTGCAAGGTTGGACGCCGTTTGCTTTCCACACAGGCCAGCACAGGGTGTGGGAAGGAGGGCACCTGTGCCACTGCTCAAGGCTGGAGCCAGTGGTTTGCGTCCACCCTGCAAAGCCAAGCTCAGGAAATAAATCCTGGGAGGGCTGCAGCACACTGCCGGAAAGCATCTCGGTGCGGGGATGCCAGCTTGGTGCACTCGGTGCTTCAGAGGAGCCGGGGAGTTTTGGCAGCTGTCCTTGATTTAATTGCTCAACTGCTACTTCACCTAAAGGCCCATTCTCGGGATATGTCATTCAACAGGAGGTTCATCTTTTGATGGAGGAAACGCATCCAGCCTTCCAGGCAGTGGAGAGAGGCTTTGGCAAGAGATGCTCCTGTGATAGCATGGCTCCCAAAAGCAGCAGTCAGGGGGAGAGCGAGGCTGTTCAGGTGCAAAGAGCAAATCCCTCTGAGTTCTAAAGGAAGACTTTGAGGTTTTTACCATCAACAGTTTGCAACACTAAAGCTGTTGCATGGCTAAATGCAGTGAAAAATCAGTTTGCAAGTTTCCTCACCAGGCCCGGGAAAACCTTTGACTGCCTATTTTATTGGTGTCCAGGAATACAAACTGCTTAATCTCATCCCCAGGCCTGGCTGTGGCTCCAAGGAAGAGCCTTCTCCAGCCCAGCCACGTGAAATGAAGCCCACACAGGCATTCTCCTCCCTGTGCTCAGCTTGTGCCTCCTCTGCATAAGCTGTGCCCCCTTCTCGATGGCCACCCTGTCCTGCTGCCCAACCTGCCCACACTCTCAACATGGCTGGAGGGGGCTTGGTGGAAACCACTGACATCCCCCTTTATCCCAGGGTGGAACAGGGATGTGTTGAGGGTGGCTCCATCTCACTGTCCCTGCACCAGTATCTGGTGGGCCCTGGGGGCGGAGAAGCCAGCTGTGCCAAGGGAAAAGCAGGTACAAAGAAGGAGGAAAATACGAATCATTAAAAGCTATTTAGGAAAAAAAAGAAAAACCACAATAAAAACCCGTTTCCAGAGCATGCAGCTGTTCCCCACTCTCCTTCACACAGCCCGTGACCAAATGGTGCTGCCCCTCCCTAAACTCTGATCTGCCCGTGACCAAGTGAACTTGTTGCAGGCTTGGGAATTTCCCATCTTAAAAGACATTGTGAGGAAGCCAGGCAGCTTCAGCTGTTTGTGGATTTTTTTCACAAGGTTAAAGGAGCAATAGAGCCTCCCAAACATTAAGTGCTGAGAGTGTGTGAACTGAAGGGAACCCCAAATGCTGGGGTGTGCCTGCAGGTAGTGCAGACGCCGGGGTAACGCAAGGAATTAAAAGTCACAATAGTGGATCCACGGAGCTCTTGGCAGAAGAGCCAGGAGGGCAAAGATCTGAAAATATAAAATGATGGCAGGGCTCACCTACCATTTTTCCTACCCCAGCCAGGCAGAGACCAAATGAGATTCTCTGGCATGATGGATTGCCTTGGATTCACAGAAAGGGCTGGAGTAAAGGCAGCCCCAAGGGAAGCAATCTTGCCTTTTTTATTACTTTTTTATTACTATCTCAATAAAGCTGTTTGCAAGGGATTAAGCAGCAACCCAAACACAGCAGGGACCTGGGCAGCAGGGAGGCTTGTGGTTTGACAGTCAAAGCACATTTCGAAATGTTTGCTGTGAATTTTTTTTTGCACATGCTGCAAAAATTCAATGGATGCTGCAGAAATGCCAGGC